TAACCAATTACTTATTCATTTGTATCTTGAATAAAACGCAATTCATAAGCATAATATTTACGATAATAAAAGCCAGGAAGCTGATGCCAAATCTGCTTTTTTTTAAAAGAATACTCACCATTACTGGCTAAACTCGCTCCACTGGCTTGCTGCACTGGACAAATATGGCCTTGGCGATAGAAATACAGGTGAGTCGCCAGCACCACCTGGATTTTTGAACAGGTTTAGTCCTGCGTAGGATAAACCTCAGTATTGGCGCTCTGAATTGAGCAACAACCTACTAAGCCATTCTATCTCTCTCTAAAAAAAAAGTATAATATTTAAGGTAACAAAAACCAGGAAGCTTGCTGATGCCAGTCTGCTTAAAATATTATAAAGAGCTAAAGTGGTTATTTCCAAACAACCGAAAAAGAATATGTAACCGGTTTTACCACTTTTCATGCACTACTGAATTTCATTTATTAGCAAAAACGATGGAAATTTAACAGGAAAATTAAAATTTATCATTATATCTTTATGCAAAAAATAATTCGAAATTACACATGAATTATCTGCGAAATGATAAATTGTATGCATATCTTTGATTTGTATTGATATTGAAAAATGTGAGGAACATATTTTGGTCAATTTCTTCTCATTACATCAACAAATCGCTTAGCTGTTTTAGCGTAAACGACATCGCTTGCTTTATTATTCGTTTAGCTTGTTTCTTCAGGAGTTTGTTTAGGCAAATATATACAATCTACTATTGAAAGAAAGAACAGGTTTCAACCTTGTTTTGAGAAATTCGGTATGTCTGTATAATAATTAATTTAATAACCAACCAATACTTAAAAGTTGATTGAAAAAATAGATGGATCGTAATGTAGATGAAGAATTTTTTGCCAAAAAAAAGTGATTAATTTTGATTCTTTTAAAATAAGCCATTTATTTATGAGATTCATATGGATAGAACGACTTACCGCCGCTGCTGTGGTTCGATTATTCATTTCCGAGAGGAAGTAAGCCCTGTTTTTTAACAATCAGGGTAATGCTGGTGATTCACTTCTTCTTCTGCCGCTGGGTGAATCCTTAGTATAATTTGTTTGATAAGGCAGCGGAGTGTGACCGGAAATAGCGAACGTTGAAAAGGAATTTGTAGAGCATCATCTAGAAAATCATTTGTAGGTATGTGTTCCATATGTAAATACAGAGAAATGATGAGTAAGAATTTTTAATTTTTGACAAAATCTGATTTAATGTTGTTCCGGTTTTGATAATGTTCTATAAAATTGATGTAAATCTACTTGATCACTCAAGAACGCCGTATCCAGTGATATCACTAATATCATCAACAATCCATATCGCTATTGCTTTCCTATTAGAGATTTTTTTGTCCTTAAATTTCGGTTGAAAAAATTTTTCGTCAAAAAATGCTAGTTTTTTTTCATTATTTGAGGAACTTTCAGATGGAGGACTTTCAGATTTTTACATCGGATTAAGACTAAGTTTCCTTTTTCTTTTTGTTCCTTATTTCTTGATTTTTCTTTTCACATAATTTATTGGCTTTTTAACAAGTTTTCGCACAAGCGACAAAAAATTTTTAATTGAAAGGAAGTTTGTTTTTGTTTGTAACTCTTCATTTTTTATGCCTCTAAATACAATTCTTTATGAATATATTAGTATTCTTTTTTTTTAATCTGGTAGAAGGAGGAAATAAGAAATAACCACGCTGAGGGGTATTATTGAGCCTACTCAATTCTACTATCATTCTAAAAACATTAAGTGTGATCTAGATAGATATGCTTGTGTAAAGTATAAATTTCACTGGATTTAATATTTCATTTTCATATTAGATTTCACTTAGTTCGCAGTATGTGGCTTATGAAATCTAATAAATTTTTTAAAAATACCTTTCATTTCGTAATGAAATTTTCTTAATGAATATTCACTGATAACTAAAACTCTGGACACAATAATATTCCATAACAGACAAAATACTCAGGGACCCATGCGGTTCTCTGGTCCCAATCTAAGAAACGCTGTCATACATCAGTTACATGAGACTAATTATGATTGCGATAATGAATATGAAAAGAAAGCTTGAAAAAAGAGATATATAACAATCAAACTTTGCCCTACAATTGAGTTTTTAAATACGAACTTTAAACATATTTAATTCTGTGCTGGACAAGAGACGAACTTAGGCTTCACATGGTAATCTCAATCACCACCCTCGCCTGCTGCTCATTAATTTATATTTCTCGCAAATTTTTCTTTTTGTTTTCTAGAAAGAAACAGTTTTTTTAAGAAAAGTCGGAAATTAAAAAATTTATCTGTATTATATCGACCATGCGGAATACGGAATAAAGAATATGGAATAGAACTGTTTTAAATCGAAGATCGATGAAGACGATCGTTGATTGGGAACAAGAAACGGTGATTCTCAAGAATGGAATGCAAATGGGCGGCGAAAAATAAGAGAACGGGTCGGTCGAGTACTTGATGGCGATGACAACGACGACCACGTCGGCAGCCAAGTATCGCACCCTAAATTTAGTGTAGATTAGCACAATGTATTCATGTATTCTTGTATTCATGTATTCTTTCTCTTCTTCCATGTATTCTTTCTCTTATTCTCACGCATTTCTCTGAAATACTCATTCATTTCTTCACATTCTTACATTTACTATATATCATCTCACGATTCGTTTAATTATATTGTTTTATATCGACTGCAAACATTAGAAAAAATTTTTTCTATATCTTTGAAATTCTTTTCATTCCATTTTCATTCAGTATTACAGTTCGTTTAGTGGAAAATATAGCTCGTTTTTCAGAACAGATTTTGTCAGTAATTAATTGAATTTGTAGAATGGTAAAAAGTTTCGGAGAGAGTGCTAAAGGAATTTAGGAGGGTTTGAGGAGGCGCAGAACGAGTACAGTCGTGTGTGAGGAGATTCCTAAGTATTACAACAGAGTTCAAAGAAAGGAGTCGAAGGGAGTTGAAGTCGATACTAAAGAGACATTGTCGGGTTTTAAGGGATGTTAGCAAAGTACAAAGGAAGGCTTCGACGTACCAATTTGTCAGTTTTATAGAGAAAAATTCTTTATCAGCACTTTAGACATTTTATTTGTGTATTTATAATCGTTTTTTAATGCAAATTTCTGAATTTTTCAGAAATTTTAAATTTTCGGTTCATTCAGTTATTAAATAGATTGAAACAGTGGAATAGGCCTAACTAGAAGTGGAATAGGCCTAACTAGAAGGCGCCAACTACTAACTTATGAGCTGTGGTCTGTTGCTGTATTCTTAGTTGGTTATAATGATTGGACACAACCCATAAAGTATAAATTTGATTAGTTCCATATAATGCTTTTAATTTCATGTTTATTTTCCAAATTTTTTTCTCATTTTTTATTTTTACATTTTTTGGCAGTAAGAGTCGTTAAAGATCGTTGTATTTTTGATCGTTGTAAGGTTAGGGATTTTTGCCTGAAATAAATTGGCAATAAATGATGTGACCAGCACACCCATATTTTTGAATGACCGATTCACTAGGGTCAGGAAAGTGAACTTTTAAAGTTGTTAAGTGAAAAGAAATAATTTTGCCTTTGTATGAAATTATCTTTTGATCATTTTATCATCTTTATTTATATCGTTTAAAGTCGAAATAAACAGGTATCGTGTCGAATTTATAAATTTTTTAAAATCTAGAAAATTTAAACGATTTTAAACGATTTTTCATTGTTTAAATATTTTGCAACTTTTTTGTTTTTTCTTTAATAAATGTTAGTTTGATTTAATCTCGTCGGAAATGATTTCATTAAACAACGTTTTTAAAATATTATTTGAAATTCCAAATTTTAATTCCTATTGTAATCGAACGGAAATGAAATTTCGAATAGCGAAGAATTTCAATTTTTTTCGATTTCTGGAAGTCATGAAATCATTTTGCGAGATCCAAATGACTAGGTGGACCAAAGCGATTCGTATCCATCATAGATTCGCTTTCTGTCCCTTAATGAGTAAATCAATCATTAAAAGTGGAATCCGGTTGGTAAATCAGGTAGGCCCACTTATACTTTCCACAAGTGATTCTCTGGCGGAAAAGTTTTTCATATGAATGGCCAACCGAACGAAAAATGAGTGCTATTAGCACTTGTGAAATATTAAACATTTGCGGAATTTTATATCAGGTGTTTGGAAATAGCGCTACACATGCAAATGCAAATACAATTTCTTATTCAACATTGAATTGGATAACTGGCAATTTAATATTTTTTTACAGAAAATATCTAGAAAAAACATGAAAATAAAAAGCAAACAAGTTGGTGCCTCGCAATTTTTTGAAGAGTTATCTCGGTTTTAGACGAAAGTTGTCATTTACTATTTAACATTAAGAGCGAAGCCTTATTTATTTATTTACAATTTCATTGTGGAATTTAAAAAGAAAAAAATTAAAATGAAAATGTAGAAAGAAAATTTTAAAAAAGCATTAAATGGTTCTGGAAAAAAACTCGGAAAAAATATGATTGACAAAAATAAAATAAAAAGTTAAAAAGTTAAAATAACGTATAAAATAATTCTGAAATCATTTCTTACTTGTCTGTTTGCTCTTTTTTTCGTATTCTCCATCATTCTAATTGCTTCAGTGTGTGGTTCTAAACCCCTTAACATTCAAAAGAAGCCTTACTGAGACCAGTTGGCCAAACTTTGACTTAAATCCCGTCCAGTTCTTTGTTTTGGGGGTGAAATGGCATGCTGGTTGGACTAAAATCACAAAATCAAACAGCACAGATAGATAATATCGGTTGGTTACCTCGATGGAAATGAATAGCCATACTGTGCTCCTATTAGTTGATACAATAGCGCGTAAGCAGACTTTTCAGCTATGCTTAACGTCAGCTTCAGCCGTTAAATATTCAAAAATTAAAAAGCGCGAATTTTCTCGCCTGATTTATGAGATTGATGCCATTTTTCAAAGTTTTTCTATCTTACAGGATTTGAAAAAAAGGGGATGGAAAGGATTAATGTTAATGAAAGAGGAGAGGAATCGCCATGCTGCTCAAGAAGCGAGAATATGGAAAAAGCAAATTCGTTAAAATTTCCACCGTTTAACCACTCGGGTGTTTATATAATACCATCGTTGAGTGTTAATTTATCAATTGGGTTCAAATATGTACAAGTCGAAACACTTTCTGATGAAACTTTGCTTCTTGCCGTTCATGTAAGTTTCACGCTACTTTGCCTTTTCTTCCCATCATTTCTAGTTTGGATGGCTTTACAAACTGCGCGAACTTTTCGCTAGAGAGTCATTTGAAGATAAGAGCACTAGTCGGTCTCCAACACTGCTTATATTTCTGTCAATAGGCCGATCCTGCGGCGCATCGATGGAATAACTTAGCATTGGATCACGCCGCAAAACCTTTCACTTGGAGACTAACAAGTTTACCACTATCAGAGAACGAATCGAACCCACTGTTTTTCATTATTACTCTTATGATTCTGTCAACTTTTTGACGTCGCTTTTTTTCAGTTTTGTATTCAGTTTTATAGGGAAAAAATGAGGTAGTTTATTCAAAAAAAACGTATTTAAATTTTAATTTGTTTTTGATTTAAATCGTTTATTAAATTATGAAATTATTGATTTATACAAATTTTTTGCTCATTTGCTTGCGTTCTTCTTAATTTTTTAAAATTATATTTAACTAGTTTTGTTATTTCATATATTTAATAGTTTTAATTAGTGACGCATAGTGTTGAAGAGCGAGAATTCGGGTCTCACCTCCTCCGATGGAAGTAAAAAAATTGAGTGCTTCTGGCGACCCATCCGTACTCCTAGCCAAGTGGCTCGCTTGCTAAAAATTCTAATCGTATTAATAAGCAGCAGAACGTGCCGAAATAGAATGGAGGGGAGGGTGGTATATTGCATACTCACTTAAATAGTTTATTTTATAAAAAAAGATAGTAATAATGAAAGGGAAAATTTTCAGGAAAAATGTAAAGTTCGAGATGTATATTTGTGTTGTTGTTCTCATCTTAATATAAAAAACGATCAAATATTAGGTTTGGCTTTAAGGAATCCTTCAGAAGGAATTGGTTGTAATCACCCTCGATATGAATATTTTTTTCTTGAATTCGATCAGAGTATTTCAAAATATGCTCCAAAACACTCGAGATTCTCATATAGTCGTGTACGTCTCAAACTTTTTAAATTCTTTCCCTTGGTATTTGATTCTTTAAACTTTTTTGATAATTTAGATTAGATTTTATTATCTGAAAGTTTTTTAATTTGAATTTTATTTTCTAAAAGTAGTTTTTTAATATTCATAAATTTTGTATAACTAAAATAATTTATTTTTATTTTAACTAGTTTAAACCGTGCTTTAGTCCATCAGATTTTTTTAGCGATGAAAATATGTCTGGTTGGTTATGCGCAAGGTTTCAAAAGGCTGAACTCTTTATTTAAGATTTAATTAAGATTCCTGAGAGGATTTATCTTTTAATTATTCATTACTTGAGAAAAAGAAACTCTTTTTCATGGGGAAAAGAAAAATGGCTTGAAAGGTTTTCGTGCGTTTTATCATTTCGATTATCGCACACCTTGTTTCGTATTTTTCTCTTAAGCAAAATATCATTTAGATGGAATGTTTCTTGAGCAAAACAAATTTTACACTTACCAAACGATGTAAATATATTAGGATGCATGCAATCTGCCTGGGGAAAGTTTTTAAACATTTTAAACTGCTTCATGAACGATTTTTTTTAGTGTTTAAGTTTAAGAAAATGTTCATGTGCTTTTCAGAATGATTTGATTAATAATCGACCATTTTTGATGCTTTATATTCGCGTTCGATTATTTGTTGATATGGTTCAGTTAATAAGGTCTTGTTTTTTTTCGAACTTTTTTGAAAACTTACTTATTTCATTTGCATTGTTACGTGTACTTTATTTTATTACTGTTCCGTTGGAATTTTAGTTGAATTGCATTAACATTAAAATTGATCAAATGAACCGATTTGCAATATAATTAGTCCATTTTATTTTTCCATCTAAATTTAAAGAAAAACTCCATCTGATTCACTGATAGGTTCCACAAAATTAAAATTTTTAATTATCAGATGTCGTAACACCCTTGAACAATATTATTTGCAATTACGGCATAACCTTTTGGATCAGTGGTCTGCTTCGAATTCGGTACCAGAAGAGAGGTGTTGGGAAATGACTGCACTGGCGCTACAAGTGGATCAGAACCGAGAGTCTGTTTTTTCTCGAATATTTTCGATCATTCAACTTCAAATATTCTCTGAGTTTTTTTTTCTTTTTCATAAATTCGATGAATATAATATGGCGCTTAGATATGTCGTAGTTTTTTTTAATAATTTCCTTTTAGGGATATTAAGATTGAACAGTACTTCCCTTTATGGGTGATAAACATTCGAGGATTTGATTTTATTCGTCAAAATTTGGCGAAGATTCAGAAGCATTTCAAAAACATATCGAAGATTGGATCTATGCAGGAATATTGCCAACAAGCTTCCCGGTAATATTCTTTTGCCATTTTTTCTTTTAAATTGTTTGCTTAATTTTTCCCTTCAGTCGTAAATCGTCGAACAATTCGGATAATTGCGTCATTTTTAATTTGGATTACATCAATCTGGTTTTTCTTTTTTGATTCTTTAAAGCTAATTTTTTAGAATTTTTGATTTGTTACAGGAGTCCATTTGCTCTAAACTGTCATTTGTATGGATTAAGAAGATCTAAAGCCGATGTTGTTGATAATGCTGTTATCGGAATCACCCCAAAGTATTTTTTTTAATTCAAGATTAATCAGATTTTTTTCCTTAATTTTAATGTCCATAAAAAAAACTTGTTAATTTGTTCATCTTGAGTACTAACTAGGAACACGTCTATCAAGTGACTCGCTGGCGAAAACGCCTAATAGTTAGTGAGGACAGCCAATCCAGAAATTTGCCATTAGAAAATGATGCAGAAGCACTTTTATATGATTCTATTTTATAAGATTAGCAGCACTTCATATGCATCTTTTTTGCAATGTTTTGTTTTTTTCTGCGACTTAGTCCATCGTTTTCCATGTTGAAACTAAGAATTAAGAATAAGAGAGATGTTTTGGTCATTTAATTGTTAAAGGTCAGTCTTCATTTTCAGGGGCGTTGATATCTGTGGTGTTGAAAATGATGGTGAACGAATATTGCTGCAAAGTTTACAGTGGAGGAAAATCAGTAAATTAAGCTTTGATAAGCGAAAATTGAGCATTGCGGGTGTTGGTAATTCTTCAAGTATTTCGCTTTATGCACAATCCGAATTCAAAGCTCGTTATATACTTGAATTCTGTCGATCTTTCCATCAAGCCACAATTCATAGTCACAGTCAGTTGCGCCTCGATCAATGTGCACATGGTTAATAATTAATAATATGTGGTGCTCAAAATTCTTAAAAAAATATTTGGAAATTTAAATGCGGTTTGAAAAATGGTTTAAAAACTGAAAATTTCCGTAATTAAGTCTTTATAGCATCTTTATAGCATCGAACTCTAATGCGTTATTTTCTTTTGGTTTTGAACGTTGTATAAAAGAACAGTCATTCACTTCACGTGCTTCTAGTAATAGCAGATCTGGACTCGTTTCAGATAAACCAAGTGAAATTGACAAAATCGGTATGTTTTTGAATATACTTGTTTATTTTCGAAATTCATACCATTTGTACTATTTATTATATATCTTGTTCAGAGTAACTAAATTCGTCGGTAAATTGGGCATGAAATTGAATTGTTCTGTAAATTCTGGAAGCTGCACGTATTAAAAGTATTATGTAGGCTAACAATTTTTTTCGTTTCTTTGTTGAGTCCCTTCTAAACTTTTCAGAATTTGACATAGTAAATAATACATGCTGTTCGTCTTATGCAGAAGCATATGAACACATTTCCAAGAAAAAGAAAGCTACTTTGGATGAAATTCCGAAAGATGCGTTGTCACAAAGGAAAGTTGGAAAACAATTATTCCACATTAAGTAAGAAAAACCGTAAATCAGTTTTCCCTTTCCTTCAAAAAACTTTTTTATGAAAAAAGCAAGTTAAAGAAGCAAAATTTGTTTTAGTTTAATTTGAACTTCAAATAAGAGTCTAAAGTTTATTCCTTATTCAATCTGTATTTGCCACCTCTTTTCACAGTTTTTCTTGTTTCATCCAGTGCTTTTTAAATTTTAGGGGATTTTGGGGATATTGTTCTTTTCAAAACAGTTCGATTCAAATTGAATTTTAATTTTAGTTTAGCATCTTGCAGCAATTTAAACGGTTCTTTGAGTAGAAGTATCTCCTTAGTTGAACCATATGAAATGAGGATTTGTAAGGAATCTCATGTTGCAATTTCATATGGGAACTCTTTCCAACAGGTTTGTCATACAAGTTTCTTCGAACATTTTCCCCTACCTTCTAAATAAAGGTACGTCTGGTGTGGAAAAAATCGTTCCCTGATTGTTTTTTGCCAACATTATTACTCATCTCATTATTTGTGGTTGCTATATGTTTTTAGGGAAGTCCTATATTTTACTTCATTTTTACAAGGTTGGAGAATGCTTACATTGAAAAAAAATTCGTTCAATATTACCAATGTTTTTGTATTGTTTAGTCTAAAAAAAAATAGTTGGGAAAATTCGATTTTCTCAATGAATATAATACTGATATAGTACATGAATTCGATATGGATAGATGATTAGTACCACTAGATTTAGAGTTTTTTTTCAATGTAAAAACTCTCCAATCTTGTAAAAATCTAAAAAATAGGTCCTCCTATTCACTTCACCGCTTTCTCTAGCTTATTATCTACAATTCCTAATCAGATATTATCAAGTCATTTTTTAAATTCAGGATCAGAAAAAAGAAGTAACCCTATTCGATGGTTCAACCACAAATGATATGCCTGTTTTTACTCCTGTCTCAGATATTACAACAACCAATAGTGTTATCAACACAGGAGCTGATTCTGTTTCACCATCACTTCCTTGTTCACTTGATTTTAAAATATGTGATCCACCTTCATACAGTGATTTTGGAATCAGAACGCCTCAATTTTTTACACCCCAATCTTTAATGAACAGTAATACTCGATTCAACGGATGGTGGACTTCTGCAACTGGCATGCATCCAACTGACCTTATTGATGGAACTTTTAGAATATCTCCGTCAAACATTAGAGGAAAAAAATTGCAGTCCACAGTTTCTGAACCTAGGCTTAATCAAAAGAATCTTGATGAAAAGGTTTTCTCTTATTTTTAAGGAAATAAAATAATTTAAAATGTTGAAATTCGTGATTGCATTACTTTTGCTATTCATATTTTTTATTTTCATGCGTCGTTTCTGGAAGTATCACTCTTACAATTTGATAGAAAAAGTATTAGTAATAGGGAAAGTATTAGTAATAGGATTAATATTTACTGAAACACTTTCGACTGAAAACGATTCACTATACTAAAAAATATTTAGTTTAGTTGAAGCATAGAATATTCTTGTCGACAACATGTCAACTGCAGTTAGCAAATAACGAATAGCAATATATCAGTCATTCACAATGATTTTGCAGATTCCATCAGTAACGTCATATGCTTTACCTAATTTATTGTTGAAATCATCTACCTCATCAAGTTGGCAGTATCCTTCGAACTGCACCCACCATTCTGTACACAATTCTATCCTAGCATGCCCTTCTTCATCTTTTTCTGTTCAACAGTGCCCATCTACAAGCTTAGCTCAGCAAAATCTCTCAACCTCCACTTTTTCATTTCGGCCTTCCACATCGATATCTACTTTTGCTTCTTCTTCATCGAGTAATGGTTTGTTCCAGAGGCAAGATCATCTAACACTACATGCACATTCTTCTCGAACTATAAATCGTGTGCAGAGTATGCCAGCTAACAATTCTTTTTTGCGTACTGACTATTTTAATGTACGTCGAAGTGCTGAATTTTAATTGATTAATATTTTTCATGAAATTTTTAATTTTTTTCACTTCTTGTTTTGTTTTAATTTTATACAAACATATATCTAAAAACAGTTACAGAAACTTTGTTATCAATAAAAAAATTGGCCTGAAGAATTGAGAAACAAAAATTTTATTGTTATTAAAATGTTTTTAGAATGTAAGAATGTCGCCGAACATTTCAAATAGATACGTACTTAATGCGAATGATTTTGATACAAGGCAGCCTCCAACTTATAAGGAAGCCATTGTACTTTTCTCTTTAATTTTATAAATGTTTTGAACAGCTGTTATTTGTGAATTATTTGGCGAAATCCTTGACTTAGATCCAGTAAAAATAATAAAAATAATAGAAAGTAGTTAAATCAAGAATTGTGCAAAGAATGATAAGAATGATCTATGTTTTTTGTAAAAGTTTGAGTTTGTGGTATGGTTAAATTACGATAGTAAATCAGTTATTAAAAGTGAAATCTGTGTGATGCTATCTTAACTTCTGTTGATAACATATTTTACCCCATTTGTATGTTATGTTAACAAAATTACAAAGTATGGAATTTTAAGTTGCATTGTTCTTAGATGGTAATTTGTGGAGAAATTAATTTTAGGTCTAATCCAATCAAATATAACTAATTTATGGTTTTTAAATTAAATTTAATTGAGTTCTAGAATTGAAGTTTTTAAAATATAGTTTATGTATTTTATAAGAATTGATAGTTGTTTTTATATTGTAAGCAGAAAGTACTGATTTATATAGAGTTTCTCATATTTTTTAAATTGAATCAGTGGATTGTCGAAAAAGGCTATGGAATTAGTGTTGATTTTTGAAAAGCATTATGAAAGTATCTTTCAGCAAGCTCGAGCTCGATATAATCAAAATAGCGAAAAAGCCCTTGAAATGAAAACGATGATAGCAAGAGGTAATGAATTTGAAAAGCATTCAGAGCATGGCGGTTCAGCTATTACCTTGAACCAAATTGGGAATTTTCCGATGATTCGAGCTCTTTGGCGAGAAAATCACTGTGTTGCCAATTTTTCAAGGTCATTGAGCAATGTGTCAGCACCTTTGTCCTCTTCGCCTGATAATATTAATAACATTCCCTTTTCTTCTCCATCATCTCAGCTCGATAATACGTCAATCTTGCATACATCCCAGGATTCAAGAAACAATGTTCGAAATGGGAATGACGAACAACTCATTTCATCCTTAAGTCGTGAGCTTTTGCAATCACCTTGTCAAGACGTTCCTACCAAACTGTTTTTTCCAATGCATACTTCCCCATCTAATCAGATGTCACATCCTCGCCTATCTTTATATAATAGTTGTCCATCAACTAATCAAGACTTACACTCTACGCATGAATATTTTTTTGATAATTCGATTGTAACTCGACAGTATGAGAAATTATCCAGCGAATCGCCTCAAGCGTGAGTTGTTATTGCTTGTCACTCTTTTTATGATTTTTATTTTATTTATTTATTATATTGTTAAATTTAAAGGATTTGAAAAGCTGGAATCTTTTAAATACATTTTCTGCAGATAAAACATTTTTTAATGTTCAACATTTAATGTTCTTATCTCTAATTCATTCTATATTCCAAAATCTTTTGTTATAACTTTGTTCGGTATGATTTTAGAAAAAGTATCATACTATAGTAGAATAAAGATTTTTAATCATTTTTTTTAGTTGGGGATTATCTCAGTCAATTTTTGGTCTTCCACCTCCACCTCCATATCCACTTCGACGCTGTTCAAATTCGTCGCGTGAAACGCAAATGGTTGTTTGATGTATTATTGGTTGCTTTCGTTGTAATAATTTTCCTAAATGCTTTTAAATTTCTGGGACTGGTTTCCATATGAATCATATTTCATTATTGGTAATTCGAATATTTATTATTTGTATATATTTTCTACTATTTGTTTGCTTGCCAGTGGTGTAAAGAATCTTTAGATCTTTTAGACCTCACTTATCGGCTTGATTGGTTTGTTTCGGATGAATTGTTCATTTGGAAATGTTCCTATTTCAATAATTTATCATAATTGTCATTATTCATCATTATTACTTAGCAGTTGATTAATATTTACACTTTTTGCCAGCTCATTCGCAGTCTTTCTTAATATATATTTTTGGCACAGTTTGCTGTGGTCAGTAAAGCATACAAAATTTGTGAAATTTCATCGTTGTCATATTTTTTTGAATAAAATTTCTCTCTATTTTCGACAGTATTTTCGTGAAAGAAGCAAAAATTTGGAAATTTGGAACTGCAATTCAATTGCTCGCAAAAAAAACTTTATTTAATGACATAAAGATCTGTTAATCCTTGGTTTTAAATGGTATTAAGATAAAGACGGGCAATAAAGTACTCATTTTGTAATTGTATAAATATAAAAAAAAGGGCTTGCATAAAATAACGAAGAAACTAGCAAATTCATTTTTTTAATATCCAGTTTAGCAGTTGTTCCTCTAATTTCGGAATTAATCTGGATTTAACAAAATTTTTTATCAGCAAGCGGTTATTGTAAATAAAATATTCTTAATTTGTTGCTAAATTATTTCTCAGTTTTTTAAAGATTACTATTTAATATGAGGGGTTTATTCTTCATCATTTGTTTATTTTTGCTTTTATTTTTATTTATTGATAATAATAGCAGTATCGGTTTTTTTTTCTTAAATTTAATTTATTTAAATTTGTTTTATTCTTTTAATTATCTTTAAATTTCTCTTTTTTTAGATTTAATTATTTATTTTTGTCTTTGATAGTCTTTGTAAACCTGTCATGATCTCAAAAATCCGGATGGCTGCCTACCTGCATCTCTATGCCCCAAATAACTCTATGGTGGTGGGATCAGGTCTGTTTGAAGCGACGTCGGCGCCTTCTGATGCGCATGATACTTCTAATGCGGTGGTAGATGCGATAAATACACGATCCGGGAGCAATAATAATAATAAAATAATTCCAAGGCATGAGCATAAAATATGCTCGCTAACAGAGATAATTGCTCAAAACCTATCAAGGGAGACGAGAACCTATCCGCTAGCACTTTGTAAGCGTGAGGAGGTGCTGGCTATAGCTGCTTGGAACGTCAGAAC